TAGTTGAAAAACTATGGTATTTCATATTGTATGATAGGCAATCATAACTTATCATCCCGTGCATTACTCGGGTCGTACAGTATGATCATCAACAATCATCCTGTATGATTTGATAAAATAAATTAATCATAATTATTCCCTTAATCACAAGAATAATTTAGACATGATTATCATATATCATAAAGTATAATGCATTGCATCGTACTGTACTATTAGAACAAAATTTGAATTTTAAAATATTGCGTAAATTATAATTGGGGACTGTTTTCATGATTATAATTGATCATCATGTATGATAAGGATCATCTAGTATGATTAATTTAATCAATCTTAATTAACAAAAGTGCCCTAACAAATGATTTTTTTGGTTAAATGATTGTCCAGTATGATGTAAATCGTATAGTACGATTAATACAAAAAACTCATCTTCTTCCTCACTTACTCATGCCCTTAAGAGAGTGTGTGCGTGCGACGTGAGGTTACTCAGCTTTATGATCCACTAAAATACATGATTAACTCAAGAACGATTAAAAGTACATAAAGACTAAAAATATAGACTCTAATCCTAGTCAACCAAATCTTGAGCTGATCAAAGTTAAAAGTGAAAGTGGGCTTAAAATGTTTGTGAGCAAGGCAAAACAGATATGCAATAAACTCAATTATCATGAGATGATATAATAAGAAATCAAATAATGTTTGTTATCATCAAAATCATAAGAATTGGGTTAAAATTTGTAACAATCTCTCCCTTTTTGATGATGACAAATAATATTAGTTTACATTTCAAAAGTAATTTTTTAATCCCTAAGCTCCCCATTACTAAATAAATTAGTTCAAAAATAAGGGTGGTTTTGGTTTTTTTTTTATTAAAATGAAAAAATAATACATAACAACATAGCACAAAATATTAAGAGGCAAACATGGAGTTAAACATTTCAGAACAAAATATAATTTACTAATAATATGCTACTCTCCCTTTTAACATCACAAAAAAAAGAGTAAACAATAATTAAAATAGGAAACTATAAACAACAAAAAGAATAGGAGTAAAAAATGATCATAAAATAGAACAAACTAAAATGAGGGATCCTAATCAGGTGTAGGTGGGGGAGGTGGTGGCTGGAAGTACTGGTGGAGTGAGGGAAACTATTTTTTTAAAAAATAATCAATCAATTTTAGCAAATAAAAATTTTACCTCATTATTGGATTAAAAACTCAGTAAGAAATGCTTAAACTTAGAAAGGTTAAAGATTTAAATTTCGGTAATACTAGCTCAAGCTCCTTATAGGTTAAAGCCTTTTTAAATAAAAAATATAATTTAAAAAATAAATTAGAGAGGAAATGTGATCTTTCATACTTCTTTTCAAAAATATATTCAAGATAATAACATTGCAAAGTGATGAATCAGGAATCATGATTTTTAAATTCAAGTGTAGAAGATATCAGTTGGCACATGAATTTTTCTAATATTTAAAGATTTCAAAGAAAGAAAGCTAACTCATTGTGAGCTTATTTTGTGCCTCTTTATCAATTTTTAGTGCATCTTGTGATTCTTTTGATTTTTGAAACACTTTGTACATCTTGTAATTATTGTGGACTTTACACATCTTTTTCAGTTTTGAGCTCATTTTATACCTCTTTTTATTTTTATAAACTTGCTTTGTTTCTAAATCTTTAAAGAAAGAATCCTCTTAGTTGTGAGATTATCTTTTAAATATAAGAGAAGAAAAACTCACTCTCTTATATATATAATATAGAATAAACAACAAAGTAAAATCTGATCCATATGATAGAGACAAACAACTTGAATAAAAAAATATGAAGTATATTCATTGACTTGCAAAAATATTCATATGAGATAGAGAATTGTAGGAAGATGAATCAAATCTCTATTTCTAGATCTAATTTTTAATTTTAAATAGATTTTGATTCAATAAAAAATTACATCACTAAAGGAGTTAGAGGAAGAGGGATAATCACCAACTTTTCTTCCTTTAACTATTTAGGAGTCAATAACTGCTTACATAATATTAAAAAAGGTAAGATTTTATTTAAAGAATAAAAGTAAACTACTTAAGTGAGTAGTGATTAGATTCTTAAATTTAAAAAAAAAAAATTTAAAGAATGAAAAAATAATAAACACATGCATAAAAACATAAAAAACATTAAAAATTGAAAGAAAGAACAAAAAATAAAAACAAAACATTTAGATTTTAGATTTTTAGAGCATCCAATTTTAAGCATGAATATCTATAACACCTAATTTGGTTCTTAAGGTGTATATGGTTTTAAAAGCCAATAAGTTTGTAATGATATATATAAGTTAATTTTTAGTAGCTTTATGATGTAGCTATTTTCCTCCTTTGATGATATGGTCCATAATGAAATGGTGCCTTATATCCTTGTATTTGGTCTTGGAGTGTTTGATTAGATTCTTTGAAATACAAATAGCACTAGTGTTATCTCACAAGATGGGAATGGTGCCTACATATACTTCAAAATCCAGTAATTATTTCTTTAACCAAAGGATTTTTGCCACACAACTTCCTAAGGCTATGTATTATGCATCAATAATGAATAGGGTTACTGAGTTCTATTTTATTGGACCAAGAGATTAAATATTATCTTATGAATTGATAGGTTCTAAAAGTATTTTTCCTATCAACCTTATATGCTATAAAGTTTGAATCAGAATATTCTATGATTTCAAAGAAAGTGTTATACCTAGGATATAATATTACTAAGTTTTGGATTCCTAAGAAATATCTAAGAATTCTCTTAATAGCAGTCAAGTGATATTATATTGGATCATCCTAAAATCTAGCACAAAGATAAACATAAAATATAATATCATGTCTCTTAACAGTCAGGTAAAGAAGTGATTCAATTATTCCTCTGTATTCTTATGATCAATTAATTTTTCATTTGAGTCCTTAATGATACTTCATTTAGAATATCATAGTCAATAATTCGATCGAATATCATTGTGACCTTCAAGGTTATGTGTAGTTCTTCTTTGAATTTGACTATGATAGTAAAGATGAAACTTACAGTTTTGTTATCTGAACCCTTTAGGGAATGATATTTTTGCCTCATGAGATGATATATCATTGATAATGACATGTTTGACTTAAAAACTGAAAATTAATAACACTTACATAAAGATGGAGAGTTCATACAATTATTAATCAAGTTTGCATTTCAAAGAAATATATTATTGAAATATTTGATTTACTTGTAAAAATTTCACATTATCCTTGAACTAGGAATTAAAAGTCACACTCCATGAGTTGGAGCTTCTTCAATATTTTTTTGAATCATCATTACTATAATAATTTTCTCCTAATAAGGAGAAAATTAAAACTTTAAAATAAGATAAAAATCTCTCAAAATATATGGAGTTAATCAACTATTTTCCAAGATGATTATCATAAATCTCTAGGCGATATTTTACTTAGATTTTAATTGTCTGCCCGTGCGCATTATTTATGTAATTCCTTAAAAAAATTATGCGATTGCTCTTAATTGTAAATAATCTCATCTTATTCATATGTGAGGAAGAGATGATTCTTGTATCTACAATTTTATATGAGATTATTACAACTCAATAGGTCCCATGATTTTTTTCTCTTCCAAGATTTTCCACAAAAAAATTCTTACCTTAAAATTTTTCTATGCATGTTAGATTTGTATCAAAAGCTAAGATATTGAACATCAATTATAGTGGCATAATTTTTCTAGCACATAATAATACACATTAAATGCCATATAGAAATATTAATAATATTTTTGTTAAAAATATTATGATTATAATTTAAACACATCATCCATTGTTCTTATTGGCCAATGCAGCTGTAACTACTGGTTGAAGATTTTCTCATTTAAAAAGCGAACAGTAGCAGTATAAATGAATATGAGAGAGAGAGAGAGCTGAACTTTTATTTTCTAAGAGAGCTGAACTTTGAGAGAGAGAGAGAGAGAGCAAAGCAGGTCCCAAAATTAGTGAGGGAAGCTGGAGAGAGGACTGTAATTACACAGTAGAATATCATAGGACTCGTACTTGCTTTCATCGACTAATTTTGGAAACTGGAAAGTGTCCATTTGGAAACCCGATAAATACATATATAATGGCCTTTTATTTTCTTTTTTTTTTTTAAAGGGCTTTAATTGCGGCTTAATTTTTTTAAATTGTAAAACTGAATCCTAAGCAACTGATTTACTTTAAGGTATTAGTAGATAAATATAAATGTAATAAATACAAGATGAGGTGGCATAAATGTATTAGTAGGCATGGGGAGAAATAAACAACAAGCTAGTACAGCCCTTTAAGGTAAGAAATGTATTAGTGCAGAAAGGAAGAGATTTAAAATTATTTTTAAGCTTCTGTTTTATTAGAGTAACTTTTTAGTATAAAAATTTATAGTTCAATAAATTTGGTTTAAAATAATATTTATTTTATCCATACCAAGCCATTTGAATGAGGGAGAAAGAAGAACAATGAGTTTTGGAGATACTCCCCATCCTCTAATTTTATGAGGTTTTCATTAGCATATCAAACAATTTGGAAGTTAGATTATGCAACAGAAGAAATGATTATTCAATATTTAAAGCTGGGGAACAAATATTAATTCTCTTTGATTGATTGGTAGAAAGACAGTCAACCAATTATGTAAAAATAGAAGCTTAAGTTGTTGAGCATGGCTTCATGTTGAACTACTTTCTTGTATAAAAAATTATTTTAAAAATCAGTAAGAAAACAGCTCCAAACAAAGCCTATATTTCACCATCAAGTTGAAATAACCCAAGTAGAGAACTATAAGTATTTTGCTTTAATCTTTTAAACCATTCGTCTTTTATATAAACTTCAATTAATTGTATGAGCTGTAGCCAGATTTTTTCAATAATATTTTATATATATATAAGATTATATATATATATATATATATATATATATATATTGAAAGAAATTAAGCAATAAGAGAAGAGAAAAGGTTGCTATATAAAACAATTTAGTTTGTCCTTTAAATATAAATTTGACACATGCATCCATGTGCTCACTCAACATACCTGCATGCAATAAAAAGATACGGATCAGATAAATATTTAGATAATTAAGTAAGGTAATAATTAGTAAGACCAAGCAATATATAAACAAGTTAGCTTTGGAAAGTAAGAGCATAAAAATAAAAAAAATATATTATAACTCACAGTCTAACGCAGATCTGATAGAATTTTAGATCTCAGAAATACGAAAGACTTCTTTATCTCTTCCTTTCTGCAAACCAATATAACAATCGAAGAATGATTAAAAGCAATAAAAAAGATAAAATTAAAAGCCCATAGTTATTGATGAACTTCTATAGAATATATAGAACTGAGCATTTTTGTGCTACCATCAGCAAATGAAACTGCACAACATGATCTGATCTATATATTTTTCCTCCATTAATTTCTTCTAAAGAGAGGAAACTGTATCAGAATATCAGATCAAGCTGGCAGCTTCACCTGCTTATAGTGCACAATCCGAAGCCGAGCAAGTTTCTCCTTGTGAGAGAGAGAGAGAGAAGAGAGAGAGAGAGAGGAGAGGAGAGAGAGAGAGAGAGGGGAGAGAGAGAGAGAGAGAGGAGAGAGAGAGAGAGAGAGGTTAGGCTTTGGGAGGAAGAGGAGAGTTAATATATAAAAGGTGAGAGAGAGAGAGAGAGAAGAAATATGCGGGGAAGATGCATATGCCTCTTGACTTGGTTTATAATTTGTCTTATATAGTTGAATAAGACAGAAATAGAAATAATTATTTATTAATCAGAGAAATTGAAATTTCCTCTTTCAATCATACAAGTCCACATATTTTTGACAAAATCTCATTCGTTATGATATATATGATAAGACTTTCTTAGTAGCTTACCTTCAAGAAGAATTCTTACACAAAATAATCAGCACTAATTGCTTTTAATTTTGGTTAATATTTGAATATTATTAATATTATATTAGTATTAATGTTGAGCAATACGAGACACAATCTTTTGAACATTAGCTTATTAATTTTTTCAAGTTAAGCGTATTTAGAATCTTATTTTTTTTATTTAGTAAAAGGCTTGAAAATCATTGTGAAATTTTGGTATTAAATTTCATTCACATAAAATTTATGTTTAAGCACTAATAATTGAAAGTCCGTATAGGTTGGACCTAAAGCAATTGTCCTAAGGCTAATCAAGAGGGGGGAGGGTTAATTAGTAATTTAAAAAACTTTTTGGTATATTAGAAAATCGTTCTTATAATTTTAAGCACATTAAAAGTTTTATCAAACTACACTTTTTATCTACAAAAATAAAAATGCAGAAAATTAAAAATGCGATAAATAAAAATAAAAGAACACAAATTTATAGTAGTTCGGTCCAACTAGTTGGCCTACGTCCACTCCCTGAAGACTCCCTCTTCAGGTATTACATTATTATCAAAGTGACTCACCTTTTGCTCCCACAGCAAGGCAAATAAGCCTTTACAAATCACCTCTCTTCCACCAATTCCCAATACGGCAAAGTATCATCATCCTTTCACACTCTCTAAGTGTAGGCAGAGAATGTCGTCATTTCACACTCTCCAATTGTCAGTAGAGAACCGTCATCTTTTCACATTCTCTAAGTTTCGGCAGAGAACCGTCATCTTTTCACACTCTCCAAGTGTCGGCAAAGAATCGTCATCCTTTCACACTCTCCAAGTGTTGACAGAGAATCATTATCCTTTCACACCTTCCTGGTGTCGGCAGAGAATCGGATCTTCTTCAAAGATCTTCTCTCGAGCGACTTCAAAAAAGTAAGGAAGAGATTTGACATACATACAAAGAAATCCTCACTTTTGGGCAACCTTGTGAAACATTCACAAATTCCACTTGCAAGATCTCTTTCCACACTCTCAAACACTCTCCCAAAACACTATCACACTTACTTTCGAAGAAAAAATGAATAAGCATTCGTTACAGTCAATTTTTAAGGACCTTGCATATGAACGACACTAAAAATCAATCATAAAATTAAAAATTTTAATTTGACCGTCCGTGATCATACAGTATGATTGAACATCATACGTATGAACAGTTCAAAATTTGCTTGTATGATTCAGTACAAGCTAATTTTATACTTTGATTGACCTATGAACGTGCTGACATCGTACGATAAGATAAGTTCAAAATTGAACATATATGTCCAGTACGATTCAGTATGAACCAATTTCGTACTCTGGATATCGTCCTATATGAACCCCATATCATATCGTCCTGTATGAACCCCATATCATATAGTACGAAATGTTTTAATCAAACCATATTTCATTTTGTACGAAAATGGACGAGTCCATTTGGTGTGTTGGAAGTCGTCTGTACGATCCTAGGATCATACGATACGAACCTAGGATCATACGATACGAACAATTCAAAAATTTTACCTATTCATGTGGACGAAATGATATGCAACCATTTCGACGTACTCTGGACATCGTCTATACGAACATAAGATCGCATAGTACGAACAGTTCAAAAAAATTTTAAGTTCGTTGGGATGAACTTGTACCTATATATTTTGTACTCTAGATGTCGTCTCTACGAAGGTAACTTCATACAGTACGAACAAGACTTAAAAAATTTTCTTAGCATGATTCGATTAACTCTGTTTTGGAGGAACGCTCAGGTCAAATCATCCCATATGGTACAAAATCATATAGTACGATTAGTTTAAACAATTCAGATTTTTTATACTTCCCCAGTATGTGTGTGTGTGCATAGTTACCAAATTATAATCTCACTCTCTCATACTCAAAAAAAATATAAAAAGTACAAACTTCAAATACAATAAATCCTAGTCTAATCTGTCTTCAAGTCTTCAACTATCTGAAATATGATTTTTCTGAAATGTTAGTACACAAACAATAAAAATAATATTTTCAATATATGTTAAGAGAAACAGTAATCAATACAATAATATTTTGGAATCATCAAAAGACACATGATATGAAAATATAGTTATGAAAATTAAGTTGCAATAATAATTTAAAAAAACAAAATCTCCATTTCTATTTTTTAGTTGAACATTTCTATTAAAAGAAATATTAAGGTAAGAATGTTATATGTGAGGTTTTCCCCCTTCAAATTAATAATTAATTACTGCAAAATAAATTAATTTTGAGTAATCATTATATATAATATCTTATATGATCAATAAATGAATTGATTTTGTATATTTGTGAAGCAACACTCCTTCAATTATACAATAATTTTAAGATGGGCTGAAAAACTTTGATTTCTAAGATGTAAGTCGGCCCTCTTTAATTGTCGTACGACCTATTTGGAATGGCTATAGCTTTTTCATAAAGTTGATTATTGTAAAGTTGTTGTAGAAAGCAGCTTCCTAGCAAAATAATTTATTGAAAATAGTGACAAAACATGGTCAAATAAAAATTGTGAATGCAATCTGAAAAATAAAATAGTAACAAAACTGTCCCAAACGAAGTCTTAATAAAGAACTATCAGCATTTTTTAAGACAATTCTAATGAAGCTGCAATTAATCAAATTATTGTGAATGTGTCTTATGATTACTTCTTCATGATTTTTAATGGACAAATTTATAACAAGATGCTTTAAAATCTTTAAACGTATTTTGAGATGAAGATATTATACAATTACTAAATCAATTCATCTATTACGATCATATTAAATTAGATTTAATGACTTCAAATTTTTATTTTTAATTACTTCTAAAAAATAAAAGTAGGCTAATAAATTTTCTTCGTGATTTGTAATTATTAAATAAATTATGATCATGTAATCATTTTAATAATGAATTCTCAATATTTTATATAACAGGGCGAAATAGATTCACGTCAATTAAACTACAGAAAAAAAAATAATTTCATTGACTTTATAACATTGTAATGCTTTTTTCAAGTAATTAAGCTATAAATTAATATGATTCAACACAAACAAATAGTTTTGCTTTGTTTGACTCTTTAATATCATGCATGTGATGAATAAGTTTGAAACAGTTCTACAAACTATTGGATACAGTAGTATCAGAAAATAGAAGATATTATTTTATTTATACAAAATATATTTAAATTAAAAGCTTAACAACTCATTTATAAAAGATGCCGAATGATTATGTCCAATACATCATTTAATGATTTTTTTTTTTTTTGGGAAAATTAAGGGCCAAGCCTAATTTTGTTAACTATAAAAATAATTACAAAGCCAAACCCATATTACAAAAATGGAGCTGCAAGAGTTGCATCAAAAAGGCTAGACTCACCAAAACAACAAAAATTAAATCGTGTAATATGGACAAAGTACTGCATTGAGAGAACACCTATAACCTGTCATAGATAAGGCAAAAATCAAAAGACCTGAACATAAAAAATCGGAAAGCGATCATTTTTTTGCTCGAGATATCCCCCAGTCGCCATTTCTATCATCTAAGGGGGAGAGATTATTCTGTGTGGACACCGGACGGTTCTCCTGTCCGGTACCGAGCATGGTATATTTTTTAGGGCGACGTGATGCATTTTTAATTGTCTCCGGACGAATCTAGACTCGCATGTAATAATTTTTCTCCAAGGGGAGGGGTCTGAATTGGGAGTTCATCATTGTCCAAGTGAGTGCAAAAATCTCATCAGACCAATAACAGCAAGCCACATGAAAGTAGTCAGCCAACGAACAGGAAGAGTTGATCCAAAGATCAGCAGGTACCCAAAAGTATCACCAAGCATAATTAGAAATATGAACATGAAAATCAAGCAAGAATATCAAAATATCAAAGAAGCTCCAGCAACATTCTAATTTTCTCCCAGCTTCATTTGTATGCCTTGATCGTCACTACTAAAAAATCTGGCTTTTGCAGCATTTTTTATGACCTACTGCAGCGGCTTAAACACCTTCTAATTTATTTGCAGCGGTTTAAAAACCGCTGCACATCCGCTGTTTTTGCTTTCGCTACAAAGGTTTTAGCAACAGTTTCACAAATGCTGCTATAGGAAGGTTTTAGCGGCACTTTTTAACAGGGGTTAAAATCGCTGCTAAATGACAGCACTGATTAAAATATATATATAATGCCAAAAAATTAAATTTTTTATCAAATTATAAATACACATAAAATTAATCCAAGCATACAACCATTTCATCATTTCCAAACTTCATAACAAAGTTCCTTAATTTGAATCTCCTACCAAGAAATCATGGAAAAAGTATGTCCTTAACGTAATATCCACAAATCTTAGTCGTAAAATTGAATAATATCCACAAATCTAACACCTATGTAATAGAAGGCTGCAAGTACAATCTCTTAGTAGTAGTCTTCTACTTAGACATCAATGTCATGTTAAGAAGAGAAAAAAGGCTTTGTAATAAAGTTCCAAGTAAATTTAGCCCTTAAAGGACCAACTTTCATAGCAGCGGAATTGTACACCTTGACCACGTACCCATTCTTTTTATTTACATAAAACATTCCACGCAACATAATGGAGCCCTTTACTTCCTTCTTGCTTGTGACACAAAAAATCCGTACACATTCTATCCAAATCATGCAATACTCCCATATGGACTAATGAGTGAGTAG